CTAAAATTCTAGGGGAACTCCACAGGCTGCAGAGGGACAGTGGGGAACAGTGTCTCCTTCTCCTATGCCCCAAGTCACTGATACTATCTTCAAATATCAATGAAAGGGCTGAGGACAGAGATCAGTGGTAAAGTACGTGGTTCAGCATGAGGCCTCAAGCCCAAACCCTGGGAGCACACATAAGCCCAGTTCTGAAACATTCTGCCCACTTTCAACCTCAGAGCCGAAAGATGCAATCACTGTGACCTTTAACACATTTCTCTCATTAGGAGTGAGTCATACATCTTCCAATATAAACAAGAGTCCAAGAGTTCCAGGAGAACATTGGGGGCTCCCACCAATTCCATTAGATGACCACTTCTTTCCTCTAGCTATAGAACCTACAGCTGAGAGCTGAAGCTCACGGCTCAGCAAACCACTAGCACTACATAAAAAGAACAGGTTAGTGTCAAAGTCGAGATGAGAACACAAGCCTTCTCACACCCAGACCCTAACCCAAGCTTTGTGCTTTGAGGGTGGTATAAACGAGCAAGTGACAGTCATATTAGTGCGTGTTTGGGACTGATAGATGTATTCATTGTATTATTGTTCTATATGTTGATACTTTGACATTTGAGGACCCTCCTGACCCTATACACACTACCAGACTAAGACCAGTTAACTCCTAAAGATGGTAGAGTTTGCCATTCACATGCAATCAGATCAGCCCAAGCCCAGTGAGCAACCACCCACCTCCAATGACCCCTTTGCTAGCCGTTAGTCTGCGGACTGCTATCTAATTGCCCTCACCACTCCGGGGCCCAGCACTGGACAAACTAGGAACAGCCCTTGGGTCAACTGAAATTACTCAAACTGTAAGGCCCCTTATCTAGCCTAAGTTTTGTTTGTGAAAATAAAAATAAAGGCTTTTGGCCACATGCCCTCACTCCCTCTTCCTCCTGATCCACTTCCCATACTCCATTAAGTGGCCCTTCTGCTTAGCAATTGTGAGTAACAAAAACTTTTCCTTCATCAACCTTAACCAGAATTCCTGGAAAGAAGACATGACCACAAAGGCAGCTGATAACTTTCATAATGTGAATTTGAAATGCTACAGGTCCAGAGCCAAATTATCTTGGACCATCTTTAACCCTTCAGTAGCCATTATTGTCCTCCTCTGATGTGATCTGATATCCTTCTGACCATTAGGTAGATCTTTGGGATGTACACACAGATGGACCCTTCGTGTCCACCAACCAAAAGGCAAAGAGTGCATCAGAGAGCATTTGAGGCCTGTAGCTAAGATTGATCCACTTTGCTGTAAGTCATCGACTTGATATTTCCACCAACGTATTTGGAAAGTATCTTGATTATTTCTGTTCTATGACTTTAAAAAGTTCATGAGACTATTACTACACTGGAACATGAAATTAGAGATAACCTGAGTCTGTGTTCCCAGGTTATGGATACTCATAATTCATTCCAGAGTGGTCTATCTTTTATCCCCTTTGTGGTGAGTGTTATGTTTTTGCATTGCCTCCTTTCCATGTCTGTGCTCCCTTCATACCTGCTTCAACCAAATCACAGGTACACTGTGAAACAACAGAGATGAATCCAAGTGTAGATCTCATCTCTCTTCTAAGAATCTTCATTTCTGCAGCAGGTGAAGACCATTGCAGAGATCCAAAACTGGTCAAGCAACTATCGGGTGTTCAACCCGAACTGGTACCTATACAATGCAACAACTCCACATAAGACTCAGAGAATAGCTCAGAAGATGGAACAAAAAATAGAGAGAGCCAAAGAACCAGGATGCTGCTGGGAGGTAGTGTCTTCTAGACATGCCAGGGAAGCTGCATCCACGAAGTTTCAATAATCTGGCTGCCTAAACAATGCTTGCATATGACAATGCTAGTTGTCGCTACCAACCTGGAATGGAGACATTTCACAAATCCCAGCCCATAGATGAAGAGCTGCAGGCAATCAATGACTGTGGAGACAGGCAAAATCTTACTTGTCCAGGGACCAATCCCTTATTAGTTATCCAGTCTCAAGTGGTCAGCCTTAGACAAATGTGCATATGAACAGAACTAAATGGACTCCATAGGGTGCTTGTGTGTATGTGTGTGCGCGGGTTAACAATAATAATTTTAAAAGTAATGAATTTTATAGGGAGTGATAGGGGACATGGGAGGAATTGGAGAAAAGGGTGGATGGAAATTATGTAAATACAGTATTTACATATGAAATTCTCAAAAATTAAAAATTATAAATTTAAAGATACAAAACAAGAATGCTGAGTAAGGAATCAGTTCCTGGCAGGCATTTATTTAACAGATGTGAAGCGACCCAAAGGGAACTTCTAAGGTGGGAAGAGTAGCAAAGCAGAAAGGTGGCCTATTGTCTAAAGAGGACTAGGTGGCAAGGGCCCTTGGGAAAGCTCCATGCAGAAAAACCAGAAGCAAAGAAGCCTCCAGAAAGTCGGTACTGGGGTTGTGAGGGCTGGTTGCATATTCTGCATCACCCAAAGGGAGCTGAAGCTCTTATTCAGCCTGAGCCCTGTTAATCCTTAGTGAGCACCAAAGAACACCTTCACAAATCCGATTATTCTTTGAGTTGATCTTGTATCCTGCCACTAAAAAATATAAATGTTAATAAATATATTACAGTATCTAGCAGACATATAAGCTAATTTGTCACATCATGGCATGCTATTTGTATCCACTTCTTTATTTTGTGACTGTGGGATTTCAAAAACACAAGACCTTAAGTTTACCGTCAGGGGAACTGAGAAACTCCCTCCCAGGATAAGGGTGTGAAAAGACAGAGTTGAAAGCTGTTGGCCTTTATCACAAAGAAAGAGAGCCAGACCAATGAAGCCATCAATAATGGCCTTCCTCAGACACAGATGAGATGTGGCAATGTCATTAACAGACCCTTCTCTTGAATACAAGTGAAATTTCATTCTCCTCCCAGGAGGACGCATACACAACATCAAAGATCATCTTGGCTGGGTTCCACTGTTTTAAATCACTTCTTATCTTTTTGTTGTAGGTGTTGTTGTTCATTTTTGTTTTTTATAGAGTGCCATGAGAATCCCTAAAGGACCTGGAACTGAAGGGAGATCTGCCCGAGCCTCCCGATGTGCTAGGTCTTAAAGTGTGAAGCACAACATCTGCTCAAATGATTTCTTATCAACTTTGAACTCAACAAGAAACTTTCCCTGCTGTTTAGCTTCCAAAGTGCTGGAAGGCGCCATGTACACTGATGGGGGAGGAAAGATACCCAACCCAGGACCCTGCCCACTGGTACGACAGTGACAAGATGGGGGTATCCATCCGCATGCCTGGTGCCCAAGAAGTCCAAAAGAGGTCCCCTGGAACTGATCTTGCAGCCAGTTACGAGCCATTATGTGGGTGCTCGGGAATCAAACCTGGGTCCTCTAAAGAGCAACCAGCTCTCTTAACCACTGAGTCATCTCTCCAGACCTGCCCTTATGTTTGTATCCATATGTTTGTGCTTCTTCCAACCTGGGTGAAATAAGGTTCTTGTTGCAGTAGGCAGTGGTTAGTGCACAGATGCATTACTGTTCAAACTGATAGTAATAAATGCCTGTGGGTGCTATATATGGTATACCTGGTATTAACCCACACACACCTTAAGGATGAGAGACCACTGGGGAAGAAGAGAAGGAAGCCAGAAGATGAACGGCATGTTGTGAAATGTTGTCCTCTGGACAGGACATGACTGATGCACATACAAGTTTTCAACAGCTGTGATTATCTACACACAGTTAAGTCCGTTAACACTTCCAGCATAGAGGATGAAGGGCTTCCAAGGCTCCAGCCCAACTGAGAATTTCATTGGAAATTGATATTTGTTAGGATGTAGATAGTCACTTTTCTTTATGATTGTGGTCCTTGGTAGGTTTCCAATGCCTTAATGGATAACCCCAAACCAATGAGCACTAACTGGACTCCAAGGATTGGAAAAATTAACTAAAATTATAAAAGAAAAGGAAGACCCAAAGCTTGAGGGGGTATGATCAAGATACATTGTATACATGTATGAACCTTTTAGAAAATAAATACAAATTTAAGTATAAAAAAGGTAAATGTTTTTGTTCTTTCCTTTTCCAGAGCCGAGAACCAAACCCAGGGCCATGGTTTTGTTCTTAAATTAAAAAGCATAGCCTAGGAGACAAATGGTACATGTTTGTAGTTCTAGTACTTGGGAGGCTGACACAGGAGGGTTATGAGTCGCAGGCCGCCAAGTCTGTGGAGTAAATACTTATCTTTAAAACTGAGTCCAGAAAGCCCAGATGATTATAAATAATGCAGGACATTTGCAAAACATCTGTATCTAGACCTCAAAAAAACTCCAAAACGTGTATAGCAAATTACACCTAAAGTCGTTCATAGAACCAAGATAGACTCAAGGTTGCTATACACACTAATTAAAGCGAAAGGCAGTGGAAGAAGCAGTAGTCTTTAATGAGAAGCACAAAGCACACTGAGACATAAGAATATTTAATTTCCTATAAATATTTGTCTAAGTCTTCTCTGGACTTTACTACTCGCAAATACTCAAGGCATATGCACTCATACAACACACATATATCACACACACTTATACACCACATGCACACACCATACATAAACTTGTATACAAACATATACCACACATGTATATGCACACACCCATACACTGCACATATCACACACACACAATATACTACATATACATACCACACCACACCCACACCCAAATGCACACCCACATACACCACACATGCACATACATATACTGTACTTACCACACACACATAATACACCACATATATACACCACCACATACACACATACACCAACATGAACACACATACACTGCACATACCACACACGCATAATATACCACATATATGCATCACACCACACACACATACACACACAATTACACCACACATGCACACCACACACACCCGGCTCTGATCCTCCCCTCAATAAACAATAGTGACTTACTTGAGGTTCCTGGGGTTGGATAAATTACTGAAATGATGTCTCCGGGTTCTTCCACAAGAGCTTTTGATCTTTGTAACTGTCTACTCCCTTGAAAAGAAAACTTGTAGCAGTGAAATATAATTAACTTCTCTTTAGTTCCCTGGAAACAAGTCTTTAGTTCCCCCGAAATAAGAAAGGCCATTGCTGAAGCTACCTGGTGAGTCCATTGCTTTCCCAGCAGGATAAACCCCATCTGTGTAAGGTAAGCAGACATGAAGTAGGCATTCCAATAGAAACCAAAATAAAAACATAGAGGAACTCTGAACCTTGACCATCATTCTAAAGCTATCAATTCTTTTTCATACACTAGAAAGAAGTACTTATCTAACAGCCCAGCGACTGGAGCAGGAAGACACTACTACCCATGGAATGTTTGGGTTCTGATTCAGAGCCCCTAGTGTGAGGTCAGTTTACTGTGCTGCCCTGGAATTCCTTCCCAGAACCAGAGCAGTCAAGGAAACTGACTAAAGGAGCCTGGTGTCCTATAGCAAGGCAGACAGGAATGAGACTGGGCTCCTGCCTTCAGGGAGAATGCAGATTAGGGAGGAGGTGGGCAAGAATCTTGATTCAGTGTGACAAGTCAGAAGTGACAGATGTTAGCTGCAGTGCCACACATGTGCAGTCCCAGCACTGAGGGGGTAGAGGTGGAAGTTTCAACAGTTTGAGGTCATCCTTAGCTATATAACAAGTTAGAAAATTCAAGGCCAGCCTGGCCTACATGAACCCTTGTATAAAAACAAACAAACCACAACAATAAGACCTAGAAGGCTACATAGAAAGCAGCAGACTATATTGTAGTTCAGGCTCAGTTTTTTAAAAAAGAAAACTCTATATTCTAAACCTTATCTCTCTTAATTTATTCTTTCACAAATTCTTATACTTACAAATAAATATATATTTATAAATATACTATATGTAAATACTCAAATATATAATGTATTTTGATCATAATTCTGTCAACTGTCTTTTTATTTATTTTAAATTGTTTTTATTGAACTATATATTTTTCTCTGCTCCCTTTCTCTCCCCTCCCCTTCTACCCTCTCCTATGTTCCCCATGCTCCCAATTTACTCTTGCCTTTTTCTACTTCTCATGTATATTAGATCCATGTATGTATGTCTCTCTTAGGGTACTCTTGTTGTTCTAGATTCTCTGGGATTGCGAGTTGTAGGCTGGTTTTTCTTCACTCTATTCTAAAAGCCACTTATGAGTGAATACATATTTTATTTGTCTTTCTGGGTCTAGGTTACCTCACTCAGTATGACGTTTTCTAGCTCCATCCATTTGCCCACAAATTTAAAGGTGTCATTAATTATTTCTGCTGTGTAGTATTCCATTGTGTAAATGTACCACATTTTCCTTACCCAAGTCAAGGGGCATTTAGGTTGTTTCCAGGTTCTGGCTATGACAAACAAAGCTGCTATGAACATAGTTGAGCACATGTCCCTTGTGGCACGATTGAGCATCCTTTGGATATATACCCAAAAGTGGTATTACTGGGTCTTGAGGAAGGTTGTTTCCTAATTTTCTGAGAAACCACCACACTGATATCCAAAGGGGCTGTACCAGCTTGCACTCCCACCAGCAATGCAGAATTGTTCCCTTTTCCCCACAACCTTTCCAGCATAAGTTGTCATCAGTGTTTTTGATCTTGGCCATTCTTACTGGTTTAAGATGGAATCTCAGAGTTGTTTTGATTTGTATTTCTCTGGTGACTAAGGATGTTGAGCTTTTCCTTAAGTGTCTTTCAGTCATTAGATTCCTCTGTTGAGAGTTCTCTGTTTAGGTCTGTATCCCATTTTTATTTAGATTATTTGTTGTTTTGATGACCAATTTCTTGAGTTCTTTGTACATTTTAGAGATCAGCCATCTGTCTGATATGGAGTTGATGAAAATCTTTTCCCATTCTGTCATTTTGTCTTGTTGACAGTGTCCTTTGCTTTACAGAAGCTTCTCAGTGTCTACTTCTCTCAGTGTCTGTGCTACTGGGGTTATATTTAGGATGTGATCTCCTGTACCAATGCATTCAGTTGTACTTCCCACTTTCTCTTCTATGAGGTTCAGTGTGGTTGACTTTATGTTAAGGTCTTTGATCCATTTGAACTTGAGTTTTATGCATGGCAATAGGTATGAATATATTTTCATTCTTCTACATGCTGATATCCAGTTATGCCAGCACCATTTGTTGGGTATGCATTCTTTTTTCCATCTTATATTTCTTGCTTCTTTGTCAAAAATCAGGTGTAGATATGTGGATTGATATCCGAGTCTTTGATTCAGTTCCATTGGTCCAACCATCTTCTTAAAACTTATTTTATACATTGTAAAATTAAAATATAATTATATAACTTCCCCTTTCCCTTTCTTCCTCCCTACAGAAGCTCCCATGTTCTCATCCTCAAATTTATATCCTGTTTTCTTTATTGTTCCAAATAATGTATTACTGATATATATGTATGTATAATATATGTACAAACATGTTATACACACAGATGACAGAGATAGATAGATGGTAGACAATAGATGGATAGATGATAGATAGATGATTGATAGATAGATAGATAAATAAATAGATAGATAGATAGATAGATAGACAGATACCAATAAGTAATCTGCTGAGTCTGTTATGTTGTGTTTATAATCATACAATGGGACTGACCACATTGTATTAGATAACTGTAGGGAGGAAGCCCCGAGTTAGTGAAGTCCTGAGTGAATGAATGTATGCTGTTGATATAGGCATGGCCATTTCAAGTACCTCAGAGTCTCAGACTGATTAAAGAATGGCAACCACCCCCTGCAATCCCTTCCCAGAAGGGTGAGGCTCAGGAACATGGCAAAGCCTTTCTCTGGTCCAAGTGTGGATATTGACTGTGTATGCAGAAGATGTCCACCAAAGCTTTCTTTGCCCAGATGTTTATGACCTTAAGAGTGCTCCCCTCCAGAGACTACCCCTACCAAGACCAGATAAATCTGTCTCCTTGATCCATCTATATAATACATCCTGCCTCCTTAACTGTTCAGCTGTTGCAATAACTCTACCTCTCAGATCAACTCTACACAGTAAGCCTACTTATCTTTCAATGTGCTGAGGTTTCGCCATAGAAGAGCCCCACCACCCAATGCCAGTTTTTCTGCATGGCCCTTGTATCTGTCTATCTTTCTTCATTCCTTTATTCATCCTGACCAGGTCTGTTCCTGGAGCTATGCCAGATGCATCAAATAAACAATTAATGGGCACATCCCTGAATAATTCTCTTCCTCTCAGTAGTCATTAGTTGCCTATAGCTCTTTGCCTAGGGACAGGATCCTATGAGATTTTTTTTTCCTCCTTATTGGTGTGTCTATTGATAATGTGATCATTCAGGTCTTGTTTATGTAGTCATTTCTAGGAAAGATGATCTCACAGCAGACTTCCTGGTATTTTCCTTCTTACATGTTCCCTACCCCTCTTCTGTGATGTTTCCTGAGTCATAGATGCAAGGACTGTGGTGTACTGGAACCGGAATCCTCACCATCCGTTAATCTCCACAGTGTGTCCAGATGTGGTTTTCTGTAATAGTCTCTATTTGTTGTAAGTAAAATCTTCTTTGATGATAGGTGATGACTACAATTATCTATGGGTATAAAGTTAATATTTTAGAATATAATTAGGAATTATGCTGACCTAGCAAAATGGCAATAGTATAGCTAAGACACATGACCTCATGAACTCCATGTAGTTGGCTAGGATTCTAGTTCCAGACATGTTTTCCTATCTGTTGAGTAGACTTTAAGTCCAATTAGGTATCTGTTGGTTATTACCAACATGTGAGTGCCACTATTGCACCTTTATGGATATCTTGCCAGGCTGATCACTGTTGTGGTTCATAGGTATCACCGTTAGTAAGAGCTATTAATTGTTTCTCTCCCTTGGAATATTGCATGATACTTTCTGGAACTATTGGAAGCTAGAACTCAGGAAAAGAGCTCTTGTGTTCTATACAGCTTGAATCATTCAAGTACTGTGTCCTAAGTGTACAATGTCTTCCTCAATAAATAAGAACTAACAAGGGAAGTCAAGACAGGACATCAGGGCAGGAACCTGGAGGCAGAAATTGGATCAGAAGTCATAGAGGAATGTTGTTGACTAGCTTTGTTCCTCATGACTTATTCAGCCTGCTAACACCATCAGTAATAAGATGGGCCCTCCCATATCGATCATTAATCAAAAGAAATGCCACAGACTTTCTTACAGCCCAACCTTACATATTTTCTCAGTTAAGATTCCCTCTTCCCAAATATATCTAAGTTCGTGTTAAGAAGACAACCAACACAACTTCACACATATACACAGCAACCACCAACCGCCTCTAGCTCTTCAGAAAGGAGTAGAACCTCATGAGTCCCTCTCCAATCAATGATGAATGCTCTCAAGATCAATCCTGTGCAGGTCCTGTATGAATAACAATAGATGCTATGAATTGGTGAGATCATGTTGTGTCCAGAAGACATCCTTTTACAACATAACTCCACATCTTCAAATTTTAAGATTCTTCTATGATGTCCCTGAGCCTAGGGGGGAGTGATAGAGATGTTCCATTTAGGACTAAGCACCCCACCATCACTTATTCTCAGTATTTTGATCAGTTGTGATCAAAACAGTTGTCTGCATTAACTCTTGCCTGAATAAGCTTCTTTGATAAAAGTTGAGAGCACATTAATAAATAGTTATAAAATATGGATATAAGAAGAGATTTTTGACATAACCATTTAGCAAAACAATATAACAGATGCTTCACTAAGGCTTATGACCTCCCTACCTGTAGATAACCCAATTATTCTAAAGTTAAATTTTTGTTTCATCAATTCACTTAAATCTCCTCAGCCTCAGTTTCCTCATGTGTAAGTGCCATAAAAAATAGTACCTAGTTCACAGAGTTAATGAGCAAACAGTGCAATCCTTCAGAGCTCAGAAAAACAGAATTGAAGAGTAATAGCTATTTTAGTTCTTTTTATAATTTGGATGAAATATCTGTATGGGCTCCCAATTCTCCTGCATGAATTCTTCCTCTTTGTGGCACTAAACTTCCTCCAGTCTCCTCCCAGGAGGATACACCTGAGTGCAAATGCTCCTTAATGACTGCTGCCTACTGTACCTGCATAAAGTTTTTCTCTGTGTGATGTCACAAGGCAGGACGGTTGCCAGGGGGAAATAGTGTCTTCAGATATCAAGGTTCTCCTGGTTGAAGACCATGCATGCAATTGAAACCACACACACACACACACACACAC